GAACAAAAGAAGGTTTAGACAAAAGAAGGTGAGAAATTCGGGATAAAATCGCATGCGCAGTGGAATCGATTCTTAAACTATGAAAAGGCTTATTGATTAATGTTGTGCTCGTTAATGTGTTTGACATTGCTTTTTTTATGGATTTRAACATCGTTGTTTTCATATGTCAAATGACTTTCATTTTAAAGCTCTTCGGTCCGGGTAAACAGCCTGGTGCGTTTGACGTGTGTCGTTTAACACCGGTCACTTACTTACACGCTGATAAACTTTATGTCTGAAAAATCGTACGTCATTTGTCTGTATATTTCAAATATCTAATCAAATATCGATATGGAGTACTTTCCCGTTAATTGGTTAATTCAACGTGCGCAAACGATCCAAAAATCGATGGTTTACTGCTGACCTGTGATGGAGTAGCGCGCTCAATGTAATGAATTCATTAGAACAAAAAAAAAATTTCGATCAACAATTTTTTTTACGGTTTCGCTATGGATGTTATAAAAGCATTAGTCATTGATGAGCTCGAGCATGCTTCCATCGAGTTTTGGGTGCACTTGGTCTTAAGCACTCGAGAAGCTAGAGTTGCACTCATTACTGTGCAGATAATACAACCGGGACCACTTTGATAAACTTGTATCAGTTACCAATCATATTGCGACATTTAGTTCAATATTTTAAACCAGCCAATCAGATAGCGCATCGATATTATAAGAGCGTGAGAACGTGATAATCTGATTGGCTAACACTGCTATCAGTTGAATCCAGTTAGTGCATCCACACATGTTTTTAAAAAGGACCTCTCGGCTGCCACTCTTCGCTCCCTTCGTGATTATCAGCCTCCCGCGTGCACCCAAAACTCGATGGAAGCACGCTAATCGATGACCAATCCAAGGACCGCGGACAAACCTCAAAAGTGGGGGATATTTGGCTACCAGTTTCTTGCTCAAGGGTAGTCTTTTTGTATGGCCTTTTTTGGGGCACTCAAAAGGAACGAAAGACTTTCACTCATGTATTTGCATCTTACCATGCAGATTTCACCARCAGATAAGAAACCACGGCATACACCTTCCTTCCTGGACCAAGCTGAGACCATACAGCACGAACTTGCTGGACAGTGAGAGTCACTTGTACACTGAAAGGTAGAGAGAAGGAATAAGCCGTCGGAAACATTCTACAAATTATTGTTGAATAAGGGCATGGCTGATATCGTGAACAGCGAAAAGGAAGAAAAACAAATCGAAGAAGGTAGGAAAAGAAACGAAAGACAGAAAAAAAAGTCGAGGCAGGAAATTAAGAAGAGCTGAGAAGAGGAATCACGTAAGACGCTCAGCTGGGTAGGCCCAGAAAAAGCAAACACTGAAACGAAACATGAAAACTAAAAAGAATAGAAAAAAAGAGAAGAGCTAATGGAAAAGAAGAAAATTATTTTAGGATAAACATGAGAGGCTGAAAAGGGTACTAAAGAGAAAAAAAGAAAATAGAGAAAGAAAGATAGACGCTCAGCTGGGTAGGCCCTAAACACTGAAACGAAACATGAAAACTAAAAAGAATAGAAAAAAAGAGAAGAGCTAATGGAAAAGAAGAAAATTATTTTAGGATAAACATGAGAGGCTGAAAAGGGTACTAAAGAGAAAAAAGAAAATAGAGAAAGAAAGATGGAGATAAACCTTCAATAGAATACATCTATGCAAAAGGAACCATGAAAAAGCATCCAGTGACATAAACATAAGCAGAAAAGGGAGAAACTTTTTGTCCATAAAATGTTTGTAGAAAGCAAAGGTGTAAGAGAAAGAAGAAGGTTGATTTAGAAAAGAGAAACCCCTTACTTGACTGCAATATCAATTGTGGATAAAGTCGAAAATTATCACCAGCTATGCCGATTATCTATCTATTAACATGAGAAATATATWAAAAAAATTGCAATATAAAACTGTTTCTTCCTTACTTACCGCGTTTGAAGTGCCACTCAAAAAGACAAAACAGGCCACAAGGGCTACAATGAGTATTGATGCATTCATCATCGTCAAAAACCAGAGTTATGTTCTGAGGTAGCTCGTGGAAGATAAAGTGCTCTTTGCAATTGTTATACTACTGATCCCTGCAGCTTTTAACACTAGAGCTAACCTAAAAAACATATTTAAACAACCGACAACTAATTAAGGAAAACAATTTCGATGAGATATAATATAATTAGTGAATAATAGGGGTTACCATGGAAACGTATTATGACCAATTCGTAAGAAAACACTTCGGTAGTTCACAACATTGATATTCCTTTATTGTTTTATGTATGCTTTTTCAAAGCATATACGAAATGAATTTTTAAATTCGAAAATCATTGACATGACCAATCATGATTTTTTACTGACCTTTTTAAACTTCTTTGTTAAGGTTGCTGTTGATCATGATGTCACGAGGAAAATACTAAACACCGATTTTTTCTTTTTTTTTCTTTTTTTTTTCTTTTTTTACCGAATTATTGATCGATTTAATAAGAAGCGGTACATCGAAAAGGCCGGAATTGAAACATATAGCTTTTTGAATTTTTTAAGTAATTTTAATTTGCAATGATTAGCAACCAAGAAAATCTTTATTAGAAAGATTTTTTTTTTTTCACGGAACCCAAACCCTCTCACCCATGAATCTGTTATTTTGCTGACTTGACATCGGAAAATTCTAACTCGAATACTTTAACATTTCAAAAACTTTTTAAAATTTTATTCTCCCGTTTTTTTAAACTTGATATGAAGTTATGTGAGCAGAAACAGATGGTTTGAATTATCGTAAAATGGCTTCCAGCAAACCGAACCAATCACAAAGCTAGAAAATAGACACCAGCCAATCACAGTCTTTGAATGTGAAAAGCCAATTAATGGTAACGGTGGTATAAAGAACTGCTGATAACTAGTCAGCTTATGGACAAGATAATGGCATATTTTAGATGTATTGATGCATCCTTGGATACGAGGCTTCTTAGTAGTGCATTCCTCATTCATATTCACTCCACACAAGTACTATGTTGAAATTAGTTTCGATCAGTTCTGCCTGCTCTGAACTTTTCAATGAATTAACATTACTCTCATTTTCTATCAGGAAGCAAAGGAATTAATAAAGAATTTCTCTTCTGAAATAAATAAAAACATTTATGATATTCGGTAAAATAAAGGCTTCAAAGAGTAAATTTAAATTTGCGCGCAAAATTGTTTTTCAACAGAAAAAAATTACTGATAAACACAGGAGTTTATCCAGAGGGACGTAGAGTTCATGCAATCCCTTTGACGTACTGATCTCCCTCTCTGTCGTTTTCTCCGCAGGGGGGAGGGGATAAGAGTAGTGAAATTTAGTGCCAAGCGACAGGGTGAGGTTAAAAACCATTTTGTATTCTTCCCACGGGTAAGAGCCCACGGTGATTATTTATAAAATTGTAGCTATGGTATTCGATTTCACGAAAGAAGATATATGCAAATTTTGTTATTGAAAAAAAGTTAGTTTTGGGAGTGACACCTATAAACTGCACGTGGTCTGAAATGGGAAATCATTGCGTCAATCTGAGGTTGAGCGACCTTTACAAATTTACAAAAAATATATTCTAATTAGTAATTTGTATGAATAGTTGTTTGAAAGGCCTAGCTGCCTTGGTTCGATGTTTAACCTCTTATTTACCTTTTTTGTCATCTAGCCGTCAAAATGTGTCGTGGACTCACGAGGCGTAGCTAGATGACAAAAAAAAGGTAAATAAGAAAACATACCAAGGAAAACTTGAAAAAATTGTGTTTTTACCACAGGAAAATTATAATTTTACAATAAAAACAAGGGGAAATTTGAAAGAAAAACTGTTTCAAGCACGTTCGTGATTTGTTAACTTAATTTTATCGTCCTCCCTTTTTCCCGGCTCTAGACCAATCAGAAAGCGAGAGGAAATTCACAAGTGTGATAAGTAATATATACAGTATGAGTGGCCGTGTTGTATCAGATATGCATACAACACGGACACGAATACCGTATATGACTTATCAAACGTCTAGGTTAGTTCCTTTGTGTTTCACTAAAATTTTCAAAATTAAAGTGAATCTGGCCAAGAAAATCCAACTTAAAGTTTATGCAAATGAACACAATTTTGTATCAGATTTACAACACTCTTCACGCTCGTGATTTCTGGCAACGTTCAGTTCATGTAGCTACTTTGTGAAATTGAGATTGCTGCATTTGACAAGAAAGGAACTAATATTGACAGAGATAGAAATATCACGTTAGATGGAGTAAAAAGACTAAACAATTTATTAAATTTTCAACTGATAAAGTGATTAATGAAAAATCAATATATTACCGAATAATTTCTAATATTGACTGATATAATCTAAAATATATTGTCGAATAAAACAATATGAGTATAGTTTGTTCGTATCAAAGGTGTTTATTCAGTCTCTTTGCCTCGCCTGTCGTTTGAAAATATATTTTTTGGTTTAGTATAATAACGATAAATTAAATGCAAAGAAAAAATTCACTTACTGAATTTTTGTCAAATGTGTTACCTTTGAGTGCGGTTAAGAGGTAAAGTACCTATATTTAACGTCGGTAGCTCCTTCAGTTGAAATTCAACTGTTATCAATGGAAGCCGACGGTGCGCACTTTACCCCCTCTCTCCATCAGTGCTCTGTTTTAAGAGTATTCAAAGCTGAAGCTACACGGATCAGAGAGAAGTCGAAACAGACGTGGAGATCCTAAGGACCTCCAGACCTCAAGCTCTGAAGGTTATATAGTTATTTTATAGTTACTTTAATTGTGCATTTCAAAAAGGTTTGCCTTTGACTTTATTTCAATTTTATTTTAAGCTTGTTTTTGTCACTGCTCAAGTTTTTATAAACCAGATTTTACTAAAATTTCCCTTAATTGAAATGTTGACAATTTTTGTGTTATTTTAATTAGCTTACATTTTGTAGTGCTCAGTCAAGTTGTAAGTTCAATTGTAGTAAAACCTCCCAGGCTTATTATACCAGTATTATTCTCGAGCAAATTTTGATTTGTCTCGCTCAAGCGTATTTATTTATATATTAGAGTCTCTCAGAGTTTCAATTGTTTCATTTAGAGTTGAAATCGTGGTAATCATAGATAGCGTCAAAGGGAGTGAAAACCCCAGGTGCCCATTTAATCTGTCGTAGAAGGAGAATTCTTTTTCGGGTGAAATTTGATGTCAGCCAATCAACCTGCGTCTATTTTGTCAAATCATTTACGTACGTTCTTTCCAAGTTAGCAACGTAAAGGCTCAAACACTCTAGTTTTGCTTTTAGTCTGTCAAAAAGGCTAATCGAGAATTAAAATGTTATTTATCTTGACGGAGTAGTGTGTCACATATAAATTGTTTGACTTGCTGCACAGCCAATACACTTTGTAAGCTGCAATCATGGTGAAGGGAACTGCTCTTTCGCTGTTTATCGTTCTTATTCTGGTGCCTCTTACATTGCAAGCCGCGCAAGACCAGGTAGTGTACAATATAATCTGAAAATAGATTTATCAAATAACGATAATCGACTCCGATATTTTTGGATAAAGAATGTAATCCCGGAGTAAGTAAAAGTCTGGACTAAACCGAGCACTCCGAAGAAAATCTGACCATCCTCGTCAGAGAAGGGCTACCCTGGATTTCAGAGGGGCTTGTCTATTCGAGGAGTGCAGCGATGCACGGAAGGTTTTCGTATACTCACTTAAAATGAAAATTTTAGACCACGCGTCATTTTCACGACTATTTTCGTGTGCCGGCCTAGAACGAGAACCTGCTGCCTTGAAGGCTTATCAAACACCTAGTACAAATTTTAATTCTTTCTTTATAGTTCTTGAAACAATGTAAAATTGATGGTGAATGCAGCGATGGCGAGTGTTGTTCAAAATCGTTCTTTGGTGGTGATCAAGGTTACTGTAAACAAGACCTCGAAGATGGCGAATATTGCAGAGTGGTAAGATATATATCGATATCCCACCTTTTATAAACCAAGTGATTGTTTGAAGATAAGATAACTAGTTAAAAACCAGTGTGAGCTGCGTCGGTGTTTCTAATGAAACAGTAATGATAAAAGGGTAAAATTTGCACCATAAAAAGATGAAAAAACTTACTGACGTTTCGGGCACTAGTCCTTCGTCGAAGTAAAAGAGCATCGAAACGTCCGAAACGTCGGTAAGTTTTTTCATCTTTTCATGGTGTAAATTTTACCCTTTTATCATTACTGTTTAAAGATGTTTTCCGCATCCATATCAGATCCTCTTAGTGATGTCTGGCTATGGGAGCCAAGAATAGCGTAGACGTTATCGGATTCGAGTTTATTAATAAATATAGGTTTCTCCACCTTGATTATAGGGTTTTCTTCAGGTTTTCCGGTTTTCGTCCCTCCGCAAAAAAAAACCACGCTAAATTCTAATTCGATCTGTGAGACGTTCAATAGCCGTGCCTCGACGTAGATCAGGAAAGGAGTTGTTCCAGCCGGCCTCGATAAAATGTAAAGGCTTCTTTCCGTGACTAAGTTAAAGTAACCTTAGCTTATTCAAATTAATGCGCTTTTCAAAACTACCGGAAAAAGCGTGCGCATCTTTTAGTCCCTTTAGTATGATTGTTTTCTTCTCTTATCACAGTCAAGTCAGCCGACCTGCCCAAGATGTGGACGTGGGTTTTACTGCAAACAGATATTTATGTTCGGTGGAAGATGCACATCTAGTCTAAAAGAACCCTGAAGATACGATGATATGATACACGCGGGATTACTCGAAAAAACCGCGATACATGCGGGATTATTCAAAAATAACGATAAATACACGGGCTATTCGAAAACCCTGGGATAAATGCGGGATAGCAGGATAAGTTTGGAATTGCTCGAAGAAAGAGGAATTAGCAAAATGTTATTACATTAAAAAAGTAAACATGTAAAACAAATAAAAAGAAATAATAAAAAATATTTACCAATTGATTAAAAAATAGTTAGTGAATCGTCACAGTTACGCTATTTAATTACTGTAATAATGAATGGTTCTAATATTAATGAAACAATGGACTGACACATTCAAATTAAAATTGTCTTTTACAAATTTTCTTTTCACAAATTTATATACCGTAAAATCCCGATGATAAGGCTCTCCAATGCAAATGTCATTTTAAGCGCTTAACGGCCTAGGATACTTCATGCTAATTTCTTCCATATTGTATTTCATTATCTGTTTGGGCCCTTAGATAAATATGAGC